TAGTTCAGGCAAATTAAAAACGTTTCCATTATTAAATACACTTTCACCACATCTGGTAGTACCGATTAAATCCAGCCAAACATCGTACTTAAAAATTTTATATATATATTTTTCTTTTACAAAATTATTACTGACATAAACTTCTGAATTGTTATATGAAAAACATATATGTTTATATGGACTCTCTACAAGTTCCTGTAAAAGATCTTAAAGCTTCGATAAAACTAATGCCATTGTGGTAATCTGCAATTGCTCAAATTCATGATAGAATGTCAAACATACTATTATTAACAGCTTAGTATTTAATCTTTTTCTATTTAATTAAAAACTAAAGTCAAAGTAATTTAAACCATTAAAGTCAAACAGACAAAACAGCAATTTTTAATTAGAAAGAGTTGGTGAGTTATTTATAAAAAATAAAAATAAGATTATAATATAATAAAGTTATTTTTTATTAATTGAATTTGTTTGATCATCATTTTATATTACATATATTTTATAATTTTTATAATTTATTATTATATTCGAATTATATTTTAATAAAATTTCATTTAACTGTTCTTAAGGTAGGTTAGTAAATAACGCATATTATTCATTATATTTTTTAAAATATAAAAAATAATGCGCTGACTCTGAGCTTCAAATTTGGCAGGATATAAGTTCGATTCCTGATACTTGCATTCTCAAAAACTTATATACGAACAAGTTAAATACAAGAATTATTTCCAAGACCAATGATGATAGGTATTTGACAATACCCATCATCAATATTTGGCTGTAGGGTCAGACAAAAATTCAATTAATTAAAAATAGTATACAATGAATTTTTGTTGTTGTTGCTCGCTACTATTCAAACATCTTTAAAAAATAATTTTAACAATAACTTAGTAAGTATTAGTTATAAATAATTTGAGTTGTTGAATAACCGACCTTAAGCCCGGTTAATTTTAATTTTACATTTTTTTATGATTAAAAAACATATAAGATATATACATAAACGAAACTAATCAATAATTCTACTATTTTCTTACCTTATTGTAGATGACAGACTTTGATTGAAAGTATCCAATATGTTTTGTGGTTTTTTAATGTCTTAATAGCATTGTTTCATTTAATAATTCAAAATTAATTTTAAAGTTTCGTTATTTATAATTTTAATTAAATTAATAATAATTTTCATAATTTATATTTAAAAGTAAGTTGCACTTATCACATATTCAAGAATTTTTATAATATCAAAACACTTTTTAAACTTTTATAATGCAAATTAATTATAAAATTTATCTAAACCGGATGTTTTGATTTTCGGTCTCACTGGCGGATACGTAACTTTTACTGAATTTGTGCCGATCTTACAATGGCGGATGTTAAAATTTGTCACGACCCGCAAGAAACTACAAGTGTTATCTCTCTACATTTCACGTAAATCTGGAGATTAGTTTTGATTTAATAATATTTTCAAATATGATTTTCCGTTGTTAATCGCAAAGTGTGAACTACAATCACTTAAGCAAATGGAAAACTTCAAATATATTTATTTTTAAATTTTTCTTGTGAAAAGTATTATAGCAATTGTATTAAACTTTCAATAAAGCAACAAGCGTTTTGTCCTTTGGCCTGTCGATTTGTTGAAACTTTATTTTTTTATTTTATCCTCTTTTACTGTATATACTGTATACTTTTGTGTATAAACTCTCTTTCCGAACTTTGTCCACTCTTTGGAGTATATTTCGTTAGCGCGCACAAACAAGTCTAGACACTTAAACGTTTAAAATTTGATTAAAAATATCCTGACATAGAATTGTTCTGTGCAGCATGTAACCTACATGCAGCTCAGCTCATATATCAGCAATTTTTTTTCACTTACTTAAGTTACCAACGAAATGCAAGCTCTGTGGGTGCATGAGTTGTGGAAAGCACCTTAAGCCCACAATTCTATCTTTTGCCAAATGTAGAACGCTTAGGTACGTTTACTCATTCGTTTGGACAATTGGGTGCACAACTGTTGTCCTTAACGCTTAACCGCAAAGTACTGCTATTTGCAAAATAATTACTCTTGCCTGCATATAGATGCGGGGTATACCTATTAGTGCACTACTAAAAACACTAGGATATTTTGATGTATTTTTCTTCACAATTTTTCTTTTTTCCTGTTGTTGTTATTGTTGTTGTTGTGGCGAACAATGAAGTACGATTATTTACTTGCCTTGCAGATTATCCTTTTTGCTTAAAGATGGCGTCTGCTTGTTGGTATTTGTGGTTCGAAAATATTCTCCTCCCACAATTTTTTGACAGTACCAAAGATAATCGAGACCACCAGAAACCAACAGCGCTAATGTGCTCTGCATAGCTATGGCTATTGTTGTTGTTGTTATTTGTTTGTTTGTTTGTTTGTTTATGGTTGGTTTTTCTTGCGAGGATGCAAAGGATATCACCCTACTGTGTACTTAATGTGCGACAACGTGCTGGGGGCACATTTGCGCACCGCATGCGCATTGTGAACTTAGCGGTTATTTTATCTCTGCTATAGGCGGAGCCACGCACTTTACACAGCAAGATATACGTTTTGTTGGAAGATGCTTCGCAAATATTTATCTTTGCATGACTAAACCACAGTTTTAATAAACGTTTTCTAAAGTACAGTGGAACACTTACGATAATTCTTATAAGCAATAATTTTTGTAGGTAAGTCTAATTAAAATTAAATTAAATTTTTTAATTAAAATTGTAAATATTCTTAAAAAATTAAAAGGAATTATTTTATTCCTTCAAATATCAACACTACCACTCACAGACACTGTTGCTCACCCATTATGACCAGTAGCATTTTGTAGATAGGGTCAGTTAGGCAACCGCTTAAGACGACCACAATAAAGCTTTGTAGGAATCAAGACGAGAAATAGTTTTCCATTAAGACTTTTTACTACCAAATTAACTAAAAGTAAAAACTATTTAATACTTTTGTAAGTACACAGTAAATTAATAGGTTTTTGAGTTTTCTTGTTGTCACATTGTTCTTAAGTCAACACGTTATTATGTGATGATATATAACTATGATCATATACATAAATATGACATTATATAACCGAAATCGCTGTAAGTACGTAAATAATGTCAATTCTATTTACTCATAAACAACAATGAACTTTTTGCGGGACGTGCAGGTATAGTATGTTTTGATAGTAGTTAGAGAACGCCGTAGAAAACTTATTTAGGGCGCTGGTAGTGCTATAACTAGCATTGATTGTAATGCCATTAAAAATGATAAGAAAAGGCGAGCTACGCAAACTATTGTTTTTATAATAATTCTGAGTACTTATTTATTCAAAGTTAAGGAAATTCAGTGAAAAAACTGTGACAACACCAGAACTGCAATCCATAGAATGCAACACATTCCAGAATGTGCAATATTTATATATTATATTAAAACTTCAACTTAATATAAAATTTACAGTGAAGTATTTATAGATATAAATATTCACCGTAAAAAATAGTGTTACAAAGAAGCACAACTGAAACTTATCTGTGCGCTTCGGCAACTTACAGTTGAGCTGTAAGTAAGCTAAAGGTTAAAACAGATAAATAACAAGGAGCAATATCAACGCTCAGTCTTTTTATATGTCACTTCGCTTATTATTCTTTCTTTCGATACACAACCCTAAAAAACCATCTCCAAGTCATAGATTAAGGAATTCTACCTCAATTTCATTCAATAAGACAGAAATTGAAATAAGTTCAGTTTTTTTCATGTTTTAACATATACGCTTCATTTTGCTATTAAAAAATGTAAATGGAATTCCTTCTACTAAAGGAGTAAATCCGGCTTTCAAAAACTTGAACATCTAATTTCTGTTTTGGCACACTGTGCGTGGTATCGTATAGAATACTACATTTGTATGAAGGGCTATTAGTCCACATTAATATTCGACCTCACTAATGTTAGTTTGATTGCAATAACTGTCGATATGTCTATGATGTAAAGAATCGACGAATGGAGTTTGAAAGGAGTGCTCTACTAAACATGATGTCCTGCAGGGTTCTGTTCAAATAACTCCAAAAGTTGTGTTCCTTATAAAAATGACAGAACGGTCATTAATCAAAGTCTAATACTAAATGAGAATATTAAATTATTTATATAACCTTATATTATTATATATTTTATGATTTGTTCCACTGTATGAATTAATTTAACCTTCGGCAACGCAAATGCGTACGAGCACGCAAACGGACGAGTAAAAGGAATTGCGAACTAAATTTCAACAATGGCGGTTTAGTATTGTAGACTTGCCAGTAGGTACGCATACACCCAAACATTCAAACATCAGACAATACGAAATATACACTTCAAAACTTCCATAAAATATCACAAATATCACCGAAAGTGCGAAAAAGAAGAACTCAGTACACAAATTAATTTCGTACGAGTGGGAAAACTAAGGCAAAGCAAAGAAGGATGTAAACGTTTCTTATCAGTTATAAAGGATACTTTAAATACAGTTTGAGGTTTTGTACAGGGAAGTCTATATATAGTTACACATGTGTATAACAACAACACGAACTCAATGCAAAATTCAAATTATATATTTGTATGTATATATGGGTACATATTTTTGGATGTATAATTTACAATAAAATATAATGGTGTACATACAAACGCTTGCACTGCATTGACTATTTTTTCCCCTTTTACTGGTACTCTTTTGGTAAGATAAGCACATGAAGATAATAATAATAACGTTTAAATTCATATGCTTCATGGAGCAGCAGCAGCATTTAAAGGATATAATTAACATGAGTTGAAAAGCCATAAAATAGGTTGATTATCGTGCAAGCATAAAATAAATGGCAGTGATGATCTATGGTCGAAAAACTTAATTTTTTTTATATTTATTACCTCAGTTCATTTTAAGCTTGCAGTAAAATTTAAGATTTCTACAATCTTATATTATATTTTTAAAATTTTAAAATTTAAAAGTACAGTAGTAACTTAATTATTTTTTATATAAAAAATACATGTATTTGTTCATTAGTTTACATAAATTATAAAATAAAATAAAAAAAAACAATTTAACTGCAATAAACAAAACATTACAATCTAGTAAAGAATGTTAACTATTAAGTCCGTTTAAGTTTCTTATTTGTCATTTTTGCAAATTATTTGCTGATTGAAATATAATTCGTTTATGACTGGTAATGTTAGAATTGAAAAAGTTTGTGCTGATTTCCAGTCACTGTCTTGAAGTCACTGTCTTAAATCCGACTTTTTGATGATAATTTAACGGCAAAAAGTTTTTTCACGAAAAACACCTAAAATATATAAAAAATTTTTATTATTTCTTTTAAAACAATTAAAAATGTTTTTAATTTTAATTACTTGTACGGAACATGTCACCAGAATAACCAAAATTTGACTGAGAGAGAATGTTTGTATATAGGAATTGTTGTCTAATAATAAAGCATAATCACGAGCTTCTCGAGTTCTGCTGTACGATTGATAAGAGAGCATATCATTGATGTTGCGTTCTACGGCACCAATTGATGACTAAAAATAGATAAAAAAATAAAAGAAATGTAACTTTAGCTTTTTCGATTTTGCAATAATATAGATAATATATATCTTAATAATAATAATATAGATAATTATATTTTAAATCTATTACTAGTTTCAAAAATTAATAAATTATTGTAAATTTTTCAATTTTAGAAAATTAAATGAAAGAAAGTATATGCAAAAACAAATAACAATTATTCATCATTTACTTTCTAAAACTTGTTGGATATTTTAAATTAGTTGTTTGAACACAAAGTCTTATATATAAATTCCTGCACTACAAGCAATTTAAGCTAGTTATGCCATTAATATAACTAAAAACCTAATTCATACAAGTCAAATTTAAAAGATATCGAAACTGGTAGCTTAGAATCCTGTTTACACGATATAAATTTATATTCATTAGTTGCTGACTTATTATTATACTGTTGTTGTAGTTCGTAAAGACTCATTTCTGAAGTCTCTTTTGGAAATGTTGAAGTGCACTTGATTGTCGAACTCGACGAGTGTCTACGCGATCCCAATCCCCCTTCACATTCCTTAAAAATCCCCTCACCCTCATTTAATCATTACCCATCCAAATCTTAACCCATGTATTCTTCGTGTAATCCCTTCATTTTATCTTCTTTTTAGATTCGCGTACGAATAGGTTATAGCATAAACCAACACAGAAACAGATGGACATGGATTTATATTATCATGCTTTTGAAGAATATATTGGTTTATAAGCCTCTATGTCTAACACTGCATTTCAAAAATATTACCAAAAATAAAATATTCGTAAATTACATTAGTTTGAATTAAAAAAAAAGTTGGAAAAAAATTATTGATTAATTAAATTTTTATTACTTTTCTTTAATATTTAAGTTTAGTTCATATAAAAGTAATAAAATTTGTTACTTAATATAAATGCCAGAACATTTCAAAAAAAATCCACTTCTGCTAAAAAGGATTATAAATAAAATTATCTTACTATATTCGAGAGGTAGTTATGTTGTATTGTTTACTTAATATAAAATTAATCTTTTCTAATAAGAATATGAGAATATGTTAAAAAATATCAATAAAATAAAAATAACTATATATAAAAAATTATAAAATGATATATAAATATATATATATATATATATATATAAATAAAAATATGTAAAAGTATAGTTAAATATATTATAAAAATATCAATATATAAAAAGCTAAACAAAAATGTGTTTAAAACAATTCAAAACTATTTAAAAAATAACTATTTAAAAATTAACTATTTAAAAATATTTAGTACAACCGTGCAAACAAGACTAAACAAATCTGACCATAAACTCATCTACAACTTGGAAAATATTTAACTTGAATAGAAGCCTACAATATTTTAAACCTTATTTAATGGACCGATAGAACTCAATGATGATCATTGCCAAGAATAAAGAATAGGAAATTATTGAACTTTAAGCTAAGGTGCAGGCTGAACCTTGCCAAAGAGCAAAGGTACAATTATTCGAAAACTCTTTTGTAAACCATATCAAAGAACTATCAGAATTTGATATCGGAAGTATTTAAAAAAATTTTTAGGAACAAATAAATTGGTTACAATGACACAGCCTTAAACCTAATAAATAACCTAAAACGGCTCGAAATTAATTAATAATCATAATCATTTAAAATTTTTTTTTTTGTTTTGTTTAAATAAATATTTAATCACAATTTTTAATAAATATTTATTATTTTTTATAATACGTATATTATTCAATCAATTATTTTATTATATTTTTTTCTCAATTTTAATATTTGGTCTGTTATAACTATAATATATATTTAGTAATATCATAAATTACTTCGCAATTGTTAATATTATAAATATTTTGAAACGAATATAGCAATGAATTGATGTATTTTCTAATTATTTTTTGTATTTCGTTTAATGTTATCTGAATACTGAGAAAAAGCACATGAAAAGATATTAAAATTATTCAGCCTTATTAATTGTTATTTGAACAATATATTGCGAATGGAAGTCTCTTTTATTTTTATATACAGAATGATAATTGATAAGATAAATGTTTTTAATGCCAATTGTTATCTTTAAGGAAGCATTCTCTTATTTTGATTTCGTCGAACTTTTCTAACTATACAAATTTAATCAAAATGATTGTCGTAAGTCTTTAATTTTAATATTACAATAAAATGTATATCTATAAGACAGATAACCCAAAAGCAATTGGTAGTAGCTCAATTATTGAAATAAAAATTAAAGCTTAAAACATATAAGATAATAAATTACAAAATTTAACAATTGAAGAGAATAGTTAATGTGAATCAAATTTAAATTTTTACACATTACATACATGTTAATTAAATTTAACTTTCTTAGCGGTAGTAAAATAGCGAATTGGTCAACCCCTCTCAATAGTCAACCTATAAATATTTCTTCACACTAGCTAACAACTGTTGCTAATTTTGAAAACTTGTTACACTTTACAACTACAATAATATTAACTAAATTATAACAAATCAATCCTACAGCATAGTTGCACCACACCTCAGAAAACCAGTTTATATGTTAAAATCGCATTGAACCACAACTTACCGTAAAATTTTGCATATTTAATTGCAGGGCTTCAATTTCTTTAGCATATTTATCCCAGGCATCGTATTTAACCACAGTAATATAAATATTAACTAATTTTCCAGCAAAACGTGAAAATTGATTATCAATGCAAACTGAATAGTAACCGCCAGGTGACACTTGATCTGTATAGTCTGCTGTTGGTTGCCACTGGTACGGTTTTACAATTTGTCCCGCTGGATTACGCACAGCAAATCCAGCCATGCCATCGCCACCACGCACAACCTATGACACAAACTATTGCAGAAATATAATGTTAATAATAAATTAATTACTAACTTACACTAAATGATACATAAAATGTGGCGCCAGGTTGTACATATTGGTGGTAGCAATCTTCTTTACCGGCATCGATGTGCACTTTATAATCCATTGCTACCGCTGGTAAATTTTCATACCATGGCTTAACAGGATCTTGTGCATTTGTTTTATGTTTTTCATTAAAAATTAATAAAAAGAAAAATGTTGTAGAAATCAAAACTTTGTGCCACGTCAAAAAACTCATTGTATTTTGACTTTCACTACTGTTGCTTACTTTGAAACCAATAATGCAATCACAACATAAGACAACAACAAAAACATCAAAAACAAATACCAGAGTTGTATTTGGAAAAGATGAAAATAAATCACAGCACTTGTATGTTTAAATACAAATGTTATTTAAGAAATATTTTTTAATGTATTCAAATAATGTTAATAAATTTCTTAATAGTTAGAAACAACATTTTTCATCAACAAATAGTAAATTGTTTAATGCAATTGCAAATATTATTACAAATATTACCTGTGCGAAACCAAAGAAGTCATATTTTAGCTAGGTCATAGTGTTGCAGAAATTAAACAAAAGTAATCGGTTCTTATTGTCTAAATTATTGTTATCATATAAACAACATATACCTATTTATGGAGCCTACATAAAAATTCATTTTATACAGGCACAAAAAATATAATAATAAATAATATAATTAAAGTTGATGGAAATTTTGAATACAATAGATCAAAGTACTTAACAGCTTAATTTATTCTAATATATACAAATAATAATAATACATTACATATTAAGGTGAATATGTATATATCATATATTTTAACTGCATATAATTTGGTACTACAGTAACAGAAGGTTTTTTTAAGTATTTATACTTAATTTAAAAAAATATAAAATAATGTTGATCAGAAAAATGTGAATTCAATTAGAAGGCTACCTAAAAGGTTAACCCTTTTAGTTGTTATTTGGGTAATGTTAAGCTTTTTCATACTGTTCCGTTTTTTTAAGTATTGTATAATATGTTGTTTTATTTTATATTTTTTTAAATTTAAGTCCAGTTAATTTAATTATTAAATAATAATGAATTTAATATAATACAAGAAAAAGTAAAAAGTCTAGTAGAATATTTTCTCACTTAGAAAAAAAGTTTTTTTGTATAAAAAACCAGTATAATTTTTCTTTTCAAATTTAAACAGGAAATTTTAAACAGAAATTTAAACAAATACAAAAATATATATATATCAGTGTAGGCGTAGCCAACACTCTTTTTCATTTCAATGATATTTTTTGTCAGTTTTAAAACAAGAGAAATCTTAATATATCATTCCCCTATGTCTTTTCCAGGCTCCTATTACTTTTCTTTTTCTCCTCTTTTAATACACAAATAATTGCTTATTTAAATTTTGAATTCTAAATAAATAATGTCATTTTCGATTAGCAAATCTAGATTTGCTTTTGATCTATCATTTTTCGCTTGAGTTTTGTGAACCAACTGAACATATTTAGGGTAATGTCTAAATATTATTCAGATAATATAAGATAGCTATTCTGTTATTAATCTGGCAAAATGGCTAAAGTGTTCTAAATTAATCCAGAGAGTTAAGTATTTTGCCTGAGATTAACCAATCAAAAAAGTAAACTGTACTAAAAGTTTATCTAGGGTGAAAAAATTGTCCAAGATTTGTTAATCAAAAATGCCATAAGTATTTCAGGGAAATAACATTTCCCCGAAATGTTAAGGGGGAAAAACAAATTTTTTGTGATTTTAAATAATAATTAAAAATCGTAAATTTAAATATTTTTAAACATGTGCTTTATTTTATTCCTTTCTTTACAATTCTTTCATATCTTTTTTCTCCAACTATTCATTACATATTTTACCTTTGCTATGCTTTATTTAATGTTTCATACATTTTTGTAATTTGTTTCCTATTTGAATCGAACATGATACTAATGAACATGATGATGATGACGTTGCTTTGTAAATGCTAATTATTTGCTTTGCGGTGATAATCTTGATTTTGTGTTTATTATTATAATTTTTATATATATATATATAATTAATATAAAATATAATAGAAATTATAATAATTGATGTACATGTGAAAACTTAACTTATGAATATGTGAAATTGGTTCCCAATGTTATACATATTTTTGAATCATAATGATGATTATGCATAATTTTTAATACACTATAGACTATAATTATCATTAAATTTTATAAATTTATTATAATCTTATTAAACTTATTTTAAAAAAATTTACAATTCAGTTATTTCTCAAAATTTATGAGTATCGAAAGTAATAATCTTTTCATATAATTACAAATTATGATATAAATTAAGCAATTATATTAATTTTAAAATATTATTGTATATTCATAAATATAATATATTTTAATTTGAATTTTATTTTTAATTAAAATTATTTTTAGTAGAAATTCTAAATATAAATCAAAATTTAAATATCGAAAAAACAGCATATAAAAAACATTATTGCATTATAAATTTTAATATTCATTTCACTATTTTTTTATGTTTCTGCTATAACATATTTCTTTTTAAAATATTTTTATATGTTGTAATTATATTGTATTTATATGTATTTAACTTTTAATATTGCGCAATTTTTTTCTTACGTTTTGCCTATTTCATATATCATCAATTTGTTTCTTGCAACTATTTTCACATATTATAAAGTATAAATTTGTTATGAATATTTATTTATAGTACTTGATATTGTTAGATATATTTATTTTTATTTAAATTTTTGTTGCATCGTATAAAATTTGTCCGCAAAAATATATTATAAAATGAGTATATATCCTGGTGTACGTACTGTATCGAATGGACCAGCTGAACGCAATGTCTCTTCGCTACATTGTTAAAAATATATATTTATATATATTTTTTAGACTTTATTCTTTTCTTATAAAAAATGAGCTAATTTAACACATTTTGCTGTTAATATCATATATTTGGTTTTATAAATTTTTAATTTTTATTCGATTGATCGTCGAGAGATAGCATGAAACTTGCTGATATTATAGTTATATTGCATCAATTGAAAAGCTCAGCATTTATTTAACTATCATATAAATATAATATATATTTATTATAATATGTTTTTTTAATTATGTATATATATTTATATATATATACATATATATCAATATATATCAATATTAAAGTATAATAAGTAGAAAAAATCTGTTTCCATTTAAAAAAAATTAAATTAATTAAATCATATATAGTGGTATCTTATTAGAATATTACAACTGTAAATTTATTATTATAATTATTATTATTATATATATATAATATGTATAATTTTTATTACTACATTTATATAGTAAATTTTAATTAGATCTAAAAATCATCAGTCGCATTCGGGCCCATCAGAAAAATGACCGCGTACATCGAGTGCCGACGCTAATTGAAATATTATATGCGACAGTGATGGATGTTCAAGTAACTCATTGGATGGCAATGGTGGTTCGCATCGTGGTCTCATATGGCGTCCACGAAAGCCACGATGTAATCTCAGTACAACATCACAGAAGACAAAACGTAAAATAAGTGTACGTAAAAAATCATCTCCAAAAAATTGGACATACGATGAATCTTAAATTAAAAAGATCGTATAAAGTGATAAGTAAAAATTTTTTTAAATAAATGTAATAATTTAATTGTTTTATTAGTTGTTTAACTGCTAAATATTATTTTCGTGATATTTTTAATTAAATTCTTATTTTTAATTACTTAAATTCTATACTTCTATAAACAAATTCTATTGTCGAATGTTATAAACATTTCTCGAAGTTTTATTTGCCTTTTTTGAAAGTTATATTATTAAAGTTATATTCTTAAGTTTATATTAAATTCATAACTCACGCTTAATAATTGATTGTTACATATAACTCAGCATTTAAAAGTAAACATACCAATAAAACCTATGCCTTGCTCAATTTCATCTATTCGACATCGTGTCACAAGTCTTGATGCCTCCGTAATAAAACGATCTACATAGGATTGACAACGTTCCCAATGATGTATGGGCACATCGCCAACATTGCAAATATAACATAACGCAGTTAGTGGGGAATGCAGGAACAATGTAAAAAGAGAACCATGATGCTGTACATCCGCTGTATAAAAAATATTATATATATTTGTAATTATACAAAAATATTAGATTTAATTAAAGTTTACTTTGAAATGCTGGCGGGACATCTTGTGGTGACATTAATATAACTAATGGCTGACCAAAATATCTCGGTATATGCTGAAAGACAAACGAATTATCTGAATCTATAATAATGAACATAGGTCTTCGAGTAAACGGGTACAAGTCGCCGGGATATAAGCAATGATTCTCTTTATAGGACTTCCCTCGACATGCTATGCCTCCGCCATCAACGCCGTCTCGTTTGACGCTTGTAGCGAGGCCACCCAATTCATAACCATCTAAAAAGCATATACATATATATTTTTTAAACGTTGTATTAATAGTATAGTAATAATATATTATTTTATTTACAGTCTTCTGGATGTTTTGTAGTCGAGAAACAACCATCAGCTGACATATATAACAGTAAAGCACCTCCTGGTGGTAATTCTTTAAATCCACTAGCTAAAAACACCAGAAGTTGACTAATCGAAGGCTTGTATAATAAATATTTATGAGGATTGTCTCGATAATGACGGCCATTTTCTAAGTAGCCCTTAGAACCTGGAACACCATATGGTGGTATACGGCTGGCAGCTGGACTGGCATCGTGTCCATGCATACCATGTGAAGCGTTCATGGGATGAGTTGATTCCGTTGGTTCCCGTTCTAGCGTCTGTAACATTCTGTAATTTTTAACATTTATAAACTATTATTAAAAACTTGTACTTTATTATAAAATATAATTATATTATTTACCTGAACATATCCATTGTAAGTTCGGAAAACTTAGCTTGTTCGCATGCAGAGCCCACAATTAAAATTTCTTGCAGACTCAATGTCATGTGGGGTGACCGTTCGCATGGAGGCGTTGTTAACGGTGACAACCTAGAACCGGAACCACTGATCATCAGTTGGTGAAGTTATACTATTCTAATGAGATGAGAATGGGGCCCGTGCTTTCACAGAAGAATTGAGAATGTGATGCTAATGAAGTGACGTGCAAGTGTGCGTGCGCTGAGTATCAGCACATTTAATCGAAAACAAATGAAACTTTTTAAAGTGCGTGGATGCAAAGTGTATTTTTGTGAAATGATTGGTGGAATGATATGTGCATTTAATGCTTTTGATGAGTGTTTTGGTGTTTCAAGTCTTCTGTGATAAGCACAATATTTTCACCTAGTTCAAACCATAGCATACAACTTAATATAAACTTACAATATAAAATTTGTTAAATAATTCATATATAGTAAAATATAATTATACATAGATAAAAAGAATTGGATAAATTAGCAAAATCTACAAATTATTCTTTAAAATTACAAAATTATAGAAAATCATATTGGAAGATAATAGTAAATCAAAAATTAAGTAACTAGTATACCTCCCAAAATAAAAAAAAATTTTGTAGGCTAAATTCTATTTCCTCCCAAAGAAAGCACGGGCTAAACTTTTCGCTAATATGGCTTTTTCGGCGATTTGTCTCACCTGTGTGATAGTATGATGGGATTGGAATCCGCATGAAGAACAGCAACGGCAGCTTCAGCTTTTATAAAACCTTTAATTTCTTCTAAAACTAATGACCATTCTAAATGATCTTCAGGCTCGTATCTAAAATAGAATATATATATGTTTATAATATCTTTTAGTATTTGCAATCAAATTGATTTTCTTACGTTGTTGTATATTCCTGTATTTGTTTTTCCAACTCTGTAACCAACTCTCGCACCAATTTCATCTTCTTTAACAGTAGACAAACAACAATAAATCGCGCATAATATCGTAATTTCTTAACCATTAAATCTGGTCGATCCTCTTTTATGGCACGGGAATAATAGGCTCTGCCTCTGATGGCCGCATAAAATTGATAAGCTTCATTCAGGTAATTCGTTTCACTAGTTCTTAGACTAAAAATTTATTTAATATTAATTAATTCTTAATATAATTAATTTAAAACTAATAAAAAAACATTTTATTGTTTTATAGAGCAAATTTTTTTAATTATTATTTTTATTTTTGAAACGGTTATAGACTTTAGTCGAAATATTGGTGGAAATGAAACATAATTTTTAAAAAATAATTTATTTCACCAATTGATTAATTAAAGATAAAAGATAAAGATAAAAATAATAATTAAAGAATATTCTGTCTATATGTCTTTTACTCCTGGTGAGAACTACAAAATTAGAAAATAATGAGTATATTATAATTATTAAATAAAATATAATAAGGAAATAAGAACTATAAATTTTTAAGTATTGATATCTGTATCAAATAAAACAATCATTTATTATTAAACTTTTTATCTTATGACCATAAAACTTTAGAATTCTTTAATAAACATATATATATTTTTTATATTCTATCATACACATCTATTTATAGACTTTTAAAATATATATTATGGTTTGATTTTGTAATATGTATAACTACGAGTATAAATATTAGCAGACTCTAATAAGCAATCAGGCAAGGAATGCTAAACATCATTTATGGAAGTATATGAAATGTCACGATTTATTACTAAATTTTAACAGTTAAAATTATCTTCTAACAAATAAGGAAATCTCGCCAATGACGGAACCGGAATTGTTTATTATACTAGAAAAAATACTTTTTGGTTATGTTTTTGCAGTTTAACTATTTATATTGTATTGTCTTGGGGCAATTTGCCCGCTAATCTTCCTCCAGCCTGAATATGCTCTTGGGTATAGCATATATCATTTTCAATATAATAAAAAAAATATATATTAAAGCGATTTGAACAGAAAACAGGATATATTTAAAATTTAATAAGCCGCTACTGTATACTGTATTAAACTTATAGTTTTATTTTTATTTCATGAAACTAAAATATAATTGGAGGCATGTTAATGTTTAAGTCTGCATGAGGTACTAGTTGGAGTACTTATCCAAAATAAATGAAATATGTGTGATTTTTGAACAATATAAAAATTATATACTTTATATATCGTTTCTCACAAAATATATTGTTTCATATATTGTTTCTGATATATAATACATCGTACGAGTATCATCATATGACTTAAATGACAACTAAATATTTTTTTAATATTCTCAAGAAACGCCTTCAAAGAGTTTACGATTTTAAAACTTTTTTCCCTCTCTAATTCAAGGAGGAAAGCATAATTTAAAATGGCTCAAAAAGTATTAAATATATACTATGTTCTGTATAATAATGCTAATTAAAATATTATATTATTATTTAAACTTAAAATTTTTTAATATATTTTAATATGAATTGTGGTGTAGTCATGTCCAATTTTGTTAACTAAATAAATCTCGAGTTTAATTTTATACTTACTAGTAATGATAATAAAGCTGTCCAATTTTGCTGGCGATTTCCCCAATTTGCCATCGTTTTAAACCATATTTTGAATCCAACACCATACGATGCTGTTGTTGGAATTTCCATAATTTTGTATATACATCAAAAGTGCGTCCAAAATAAGCCTGCCACTGCCGGTGGCCATATTGCGGCAGATCTCTATTGAATTAAATAATATATACATGTGTTATTATTTGTTTTGTACTAAATAAAAAACATTTCTAATATTTACCTGAGGCCGTTGAACAATTGCTTTGATTTTTCTAACAAATGACAAAACTCCAAAACTAACTTTCTGTCCTGTTCTTCTGTGGATTCCATTTTCACCATACCGTTTCAATTAAAGTAAAATGTTATGTGTAAATTGTTAAAGAACTGCAAATGAATGAGAGGAAAAATATTAAATATAAACAAAAAATAAAACATTCGAATTTTAGTGTAATAAAAGATATTTTTAATTGACCTACATTACTCATGAACTAACAAATCTTATTGAAAATTTCAGCAAAATGATTTTTATCAAGCGGAATTGCGCATACCAAAGGAATGCTATTATACTCGCTTTAATATAGTAAATTAGTTCTACATATAAAATTTATTTTTTAATTTTTAATTTTTAATTTCATTCTGTGCTACCCGCTTACTCAAGTATTTATAATAACACTTTAGCTACTCACAAACTATGCACTCCTCAGCCTCTCTAGAAAATCTGAAAAGCGATTTTTCACTTGAAAATATCTCAATAGAACTCAATAGAAAACAGAAAACAATTGCTTAACTTATCTACACATACCGCAAATACCAAACTGATTCATCTTTTAATAATGCTACAATCACCAGCCAGTGGCTTCTAGCTTATATGTTAGCTTTTAGTTAATGGTTTAGTGTGACTATTTCGTCAGAGACAGATGCCGCTGACGCTACTACTGACACTACTACTGACGCTGTTCATATATTATCTGATCTCTTGAAATACACACTTCACTCATTGCCGTCGTTGATGGCTTGGCATAAGAATCAATTTAATAATTTGCAAACAAACCGAATGTTGCTAGTATGAGACTGATGATGATGCCATGCTGAGCGTTTTTTGAGCGACAGCCGCCACTTCCCACCCACAAATCGAATAACCTATACGGATGATGACATGAGTATACGTATTCAACTAAAGTATGTACACCAAATAGACAGTACAAAATGACTGATTTCCCCAGTGTGAGTAATAATCTTGTTGTTAACCTAACCTAACCCAACTATGCCCAAGTCTATATGTTACATAGTTAAAGCAAATAAACTGACTATACAAATCTCATTTTTTCTGCTTAATGGAAAAACCTATTATTAGTCTTATTGGGTGGTGAAGAGTATAATATTACGAATTTAATTTTAGTTCTGTTAGCTTTATTATTGCTACTATATCTGCTATTGACTCACTGGAAACGTATAATCTGATGCCAACATCAAATCAACTTGTGTGCCACGAAAAAAAAGATGTCAACCAAACATACATTTACGTTAAACAACAAATTCGGAACAAAGTTCCCGAAATAGGTTAGCACCAAAATTGCATTTTAACGCATTGCGAATATCCTTCATGGAACGTAGTACTACCAATGTGCTACGTTTTGGTTTCAGTTTCGGCTTACGGTTGCCATAAATAATATTTCTTCAACAATTCCATTGTTATTGTTGTTGACTTAAATTTTTTTAGGTTTTTGGATTTTAGCTATTTTGGCTGCAGTAGGAATTTGCGCAAAGTAAATACTTTTATTTTATATATATTGTGTTCAAATGACATTTCCACATAAATTTTCCAATGATACGCAAAGTATAAGTATACTTGTATTATTGTACTATGAGTAAAAGTATTATTAGTCCTTCAGTGAGAACGAAAACCAGCATTATGCCTACTTCAAGTAGAAAGCATTCAACAATTTGAAAAACCCAATCACGCATTTAATATACGAGGGATGCATGAAAAATTTTAAAAAATTTTGTACAATATATCATTGAAATTACATTTTATCTTATTTTGTGTGTAACATACGAGTCCACGGTCTTTAATTGACATGTTTCCACTATTATACAGCAACACTTTCTTACTCAAGAGATGACACTCTGTGACTTTTTAAAAATTTCAAAACTCAAAATAACAATAATACCTATAAAGGCGAAATAGCAGAGATCTCAAGACCAAAGTATCAACCATTAACAGCTATCACTTGTGAAGCATAGCGTTACTATCCAGACACTCTGTGACTTTTTCAAATTTCCCGAACTTAAAATGACGTACAAAGGACAAGATTTTTATGCAAACAATAGATGATATGAAGGCGAAATTACGGAGGCCTCAAGACCACACCTAAAAGGCGCGCTAGAAATTTTTGACAAATTGAAAACTGCGGTAGCATGAGTGCATAATATCAAAAGGTACTGCCTTACATCGAAAGGACAAAAAAAAACCATTGACAACTTAGAAAAGACTTTTTGGGAACATCAACGTTATCATTATCAATTCTAATTTAGATTCATAGAAGCCAGCACAATTATGATTCCTCAATTAGAGTATTCCTCAAACAATAAAAAATAGTATTTAATATAATATTAACTTAATAAAACATTAACTTCAGCCCTCATCTTCAAACTGATTCAGAGAGTGTGTTGCTGATATATTGCAAATAAGACAATTCATGTAGTAATAAGTACATTTATTATAAAAAAAAATGTCATACAAATGGAAGAAAGTGCTCTGACTGGAAAGGTTTTTGAATCAGTACCTACTGGTGGAAAACGCAGTCTAAGGACCTAGTGGCCAACAATATGAAGGCAGATGGCACTACCAACTGGTAACAGCAAACAACTGATTCGGTAGGCTAGTGGTCGCTACTAGACAAGACTAAGCACTACTTACGTCCATAATGACCAACTTAGTAAGTAAGTAAGTATAAAGCTCTATGAAGTTGTTGATTTAAAAACTGTGCCAGTCAGTTTAAACTATAAACCACTTTATTGAATATTTTTTCTGAACTTTTATCTTCAAAAAAAATTTAATTAAATAAAACATTTTTGTACGTACGACTCTGTTTCATTTATTTATCAAAATTTGCACATAAAATTTTATTGCACACACAATTGTGCTTCAGTTTGTGGAATATTGCATATGACATGTATCCTTGCGCATATCCTGCAAACATTCTTACCTTGTTTACAATATGCACTGTACACTGTGGAAAACTCTCAATTCTTTCACTTGGTTTAGGCACAATTTTTTTACCTCTTATTTCTGTTATTTTTGTTTAATTGCCCACAGGTAGTAACACTTTTATGTGACATAATTTTAAACATTTTGGCATAAATTGTGTTACAAATTTAAATAAAAAAATTTTATTCACTACTATTATGCGAGGTTTTAATTAAAATGGGATTTGTGTGTGAATTCTCAACTCCACAAACGACCACATTCGAAGTATGGTATTACTTTTTATTATTTTATATAGGAAAAATCAATTAAAATTGTAATTTTTGAAAAACAATTTCAGCATTCATTTAAGCGGAAATATTACCTATCACCATTTTGCTGCCATTTTCCTACATTATCCTTTGCAAACGACAATATTAACTTTTTACTACACTTACTACCATTGTTACTACTACAACTGCTCCTGATGCTAAAACCGATGCCGATAACGTTGTCGATGCCGATGCCGATGCGATGCTCTTCCAACTTTAGTTTCAAAAGGACTACAGCATCGTTGTTGTTGTGGCTTTCATTTTAATGGTTGAAAGAGCAGAGACACAACTACACAAACATATGGTAAATGGCCCACATTGATTTTCATTCAACGGAACTAGGTCAATATTTAACCCAAACTTATCTTTCTCATTACTAACGTTTATGATCTCATATAAAAATACCCATCACTGCTACCTACTTATATATTTAAAATATATATCTATATATATATATATATATATATGTACATGTATATATATAATACATAGCTATGTAAGTATTTTAGATTTTACGTGATAAATATTTATAAATCTGGAATATAAAAATTTTAATGCGACTTAAAGGCAATGAACCATAAAAACAATAAATTTTAAAACAAAAAGTAGCGGATTTTTATAATTAAAAAATTTATTTAAAATAGATTTATTATATATATGTTAATTTTATACTTTAAGGCAGTTAATAAGTCAATGAACAATATTGTAAATGGATTTCTTCAAAGTTCACTGTTAATAATTAAAAATAATTTAAAACAATATTAAATTTTTTTTCCAGAATCCCTCATTTTATTTATATCACAAACATTTCTTACGTTCTTATTTTTTTGTATATATACGAGTAAATATGTATCATGTATCATATATGAAGTAAGTTTGGAACTGAATTTATATTATACCTATATATCTATTTAACTCTAAAATAAACACTGAATCACACAACAATTGAATTAAACAAATGCTTTGGCATTTTGAATTACTTCGTTTATCATAAAATAATTTTCTGCCTAAATACGACTTGCTTCAATATACATTACGTTGTTCTGGTAGTTTTTTCTTATGTTACCAGCCGTTTTTTGAATTTATTGAATGTTTCTTAAACTGTTCGCCACCGAAAAAATCAATGATATTATGAATAAAATTCAAAAACGTCATCATGTGAACAAACACGATATGGTTTAAGAACTTAAACTTGAACACAAAATAGTTTAAAACCATGCAAATGGATTTCAAAAAAGGCAACCAGGGTTCTACTTTCTTAAACCTAGCAGGGAAGATACGATAAACTCTGGATATAGTAGTTTCTGTTAACACGTAGGTATATTTACAGAAATGGCTTTAAAAGCAATTAGTCCACTTCGACTACCGAATCTTTTCAATGACTTTCAGGCAAAATGTGTCTTAGGCAACAAAGTCCATCGATCTGAATATCGTAATCTTCTCGGGCAGCTAAGCTGCCATCGAATATCTAGTAAACACTACAGCTACACTCTTAACAATAAAAGAATGCCGACTAGCTAGCTTACTCTTAACGAACTAGCTAGGCATGTCAGCGTGCAGCTCATATGGATACATATGAGCTGCACGCTGCAACTGCAGGGGGAGTCGAACTATCCAAGTTAGGCACTCTACTCCTTTACATTTATTTCTCAGGTATTTGTGTCAATTGTGTCAATAAAACTATTTGAGCATAACTTAACAAAATTAGTCAGATGAACCATTCATTGGTCAGGACAAGAAACGTGCCAGTAAGCTGCTTCAATTAAAACTTAACCTGCTCACCACTACGGTTTCGGTGCTAATGGGTCACTGTACTCTACTTTATACATCAGTGTCCATAATTGCGTAGGAGAAGATTTAAATCTCTAGATTTTGTGACTCATTTTCTTACCGTCCTGATGGAACACGCTGAACTAGCAGAAATTAAGGTATTATATACAAAAGATTACATTCGACTTTGAAGAAGAAAAAGTGAGATGACAATAACTGACAATAGGTACATATTTATTTTGTTTCCAAAACAGTTATATCACAGGTTATTTTTCCAGAGCTCAAGTGAGCTTTCAGCATAAGGCCTCCAATCCAACCTAACCTTAATGAATAAAATATGATAATCTTTAAATCTAAAAATATGATAACACTCTTAATTTTTAATTAAAAATTTTGTCCTATCATAAGTAATCTACATATTTCCAATAGAAAAGAGTCGTAATAGTGAGAAAATTTTCGTATGCAGAATAATTTTTTAAACAAGTAAACATCCATTATAGTCGTACATGTGTAATAATTAATCAGGAATTCTTCTTCTTTTATAGCGCAATTTCAAGTGATTATTATAGCTAATATATATTTTTATGTTTTTATGTCCCTTGAAATGCTTTTTAATTTTTTTAATCCTATGTTAACCAATTATAAAGAATTCACCTTTGGAACTTCACTTGCTTTGACATAAACTATGACATAAAACTCTACGTTAAACAAGTTGTTTACAATATGAAAACAAAAATCTTATTTTAGAGCTTAAACTCAGCTAAACTTCATGTTTTATTTAAACCGGAAATGAAGTGAACGCAAATATGGCGTTCTGCTAAAAAAAGATGTTACTTATTATTGCCCAACAGAGACAATAGTTATGGCGTTTGTTAGCGGTCTTCGCTGTTGCTGGATGTGTTGATGATGGCAGCTGTGTTAGTGGCAGTGTTAACGATGCTGATGTGTTGATGATGACGATGATGACGATAATGACAATAATGATGTTGTGGTAATAGTAGCTTTGCATCAAGTGGCACACATAAAAAAACATATTGTGGGTATTTTTTGTATGTGTAAGTGTATGCGAATGTTTGCACTAATTTTATTTTGTTTTTTTTTCTTGCTTTTTTTTAGTGAAAAAGTGTGAGCTGTTTCCGGCTTATATCCAAACTACAAACAAATACCTAGTTATTGTGGGCTAAAAAGTTTTTACGCTCTCAGCCATTGACTGCCACAGTAACTGACTCGTTTAAATATATTTTGAGAGTAAAAAACAAAAAAATAAAAGTAAATAAAAGCAAGTAAAGAAAATAGAATCACCGTTAGAAAATCCCGCATAAAAAACGCACTTTCTCATAGACACTGGCGGCGAAATGAGCGAAACCGTGGGTGAGCCCAGAGTACTAGTGAAATAGTGAGTGGGACGGAAGTTCTGAGTGTCAACTATCACGGATATTATATGTATGTATTATATGTGTGCCTGTGTTGTAAGGCACAGTGTGCGTACACACTTATCTCCTTGTCTGTCTGTCTATGTGTCTGTCTGTTCGTAAAACGTGTGCTTTTCTGAGTGTTTGTGTATGTATATATTTCTGTTTGCTTGCCTCCGCTTTTTTAACATCCTCTTTGTGTAAACACACTAGAGTAAGAATAAATAAAATTCTTCAAAAAAGCGAAAAATTCGCAAAAAAAAAATATGTTTATAAAAAAGCGGTGAATATCTCCTTTATTATGGCTAAGGGCACAAGGAGGTGCAAACACACGCTAATGTTTGCCGTTGTTACTATTAATATTGTTGCTGTTGCTGTTGCTGTTACTGTTACTGTAGTTGGCGTTGGTCGTTTAGTTCGTTTGCTTGCTCCGTTGCTCGGCGAAACTGAAAACATTATGACGATTATGAGTTTTTATGTTGTTTGCGTAGGCGATGTTGTTGCTGCCTGCTGCCTCCTGCCTGGTGCCTGGTGCCTGCTGCCAGTTAGTTGAGTTGAGTTGAGTTGAGTACAGACAAATGCGGTAGGCGGGAATGGTTATGTGTAGTAGCATTGCTGCAGCCACTGTTCGCCATTCTTAAAGCATAAAAACTTTTTACTTCGCAAAATAACTATTTTTAGCTTTTCATAGCACAAACGATAATTGGAAGTTAAAGTACACATGGACCAGGAGACAAATAATGATGACAAAATTCATTTTTTTGCTTTTTGCTTTTTTCTTTATTATATATTTCTTTTTTTTAATAGTTCTTAATGAAGTTTTTGTGTGTTAGTTTATTTTATGAGTTCGTGCTTTTTAAATATTTGCTCCCTTCACATATAATTTTTTTCGTCGTCTTATGCAAAGCAGAACCAAGCGCTATGCTAGAAAAATTTTGTTTATCGATTTGATTGATAGCCCGTCCGTTGGGGCGTATGATTGTTATTATTTATTCCCAAAAAACAATGCTCAACATTTTGACTTTTTTTTTGATTGGAATAATAAACTTTAATTTATATGTATGTAGATTAAAATCTTCAAATAATGAATATATCCATGGAATTTAGTAAGAAGTATTTTATATTAAATAGTAGTATTATACATAAATTGATATAATATTTAAAAAGTTATAGAATTGAATCATTCTGACTAAATTTTAAGTTACAAGTCAACGAAATGGGTAAATTAAAGAAAAAATTCCACTGATATATTACAACGCATAGTTTGGAAATCTATATCTTACAACTATAGGAACTTATATCAAATCGGAGTAACTGAAAACTTAATAAAAATAGAAAATAGGTAAAGACAATGGATTTGATGTTATCAGAATTTAAATATCCTTCACACAGAGTAGTTAATGACAATCAAAAGTTTATATGACAACTAAATAAAAACAAAGAAGTGAATATATCAATAAAATATTATGTTTTGATATTTTACTTTGCTTTATTTACTAAATAAAGTAATTTGAGAAATAGATTTCAACAATACAAATTCGAATTTATTTACAAATACTTTAATTTTAATAAGAATCTACAATAAAGTGGGAATAATCAACAAACACAGGATTAATCCGTTTTTGGTTCCTAATAGATCTGACAAAAAAATTACACTTGTGATCGAGATTTCAACCAAATTTTCAATTTAATATTTTTTTTAGATGTAATATAAAACATTTTTCAAATTCAAAATCTTTGGAGCCTCTTTTCTTACCGACCTGACAGAGTTGTTAACCTGCAAAATTAGATTGGTTCACTTTCACTAGAATGGGGGAGTCGTAATTTTCGGCATTATTTTAACGTTGACCTCTAGACTGCATATGAACAACGCTAATCTATGGAATATTATTACAGTGGACAATTATTTGAGTTCAAATTTGTTTTGAGCGCAAGGCCTTCACATAATAATCTAACTAAATATAAACCTAATTTATAAGAATACTTGGAATTCTGCCTCTCCTCATATTAGCCATCAAGTTTACTTCTAATCTTAAACCTAATCTTCATGTTTTTGTCAATACTAATCGAAACAATCATAGCAACAACATCAATTAAGATAGCAATAAAAGCAGAACTATATTAAAAACTATAATATGGACTAATATGGGAGTATAACATATGTAAAAAATAAGCTTTACTAAAAATAAAAAAACAATTTTTTTATTAAAGAATGTTTAAGAGGGTAAAAGATTTGGATTTTTTCAGATTATAGACGATTGTTAAAGATGGTAATAGAATTTGATATTATTAGATGTATTTCCAGAAGGGATATGTAAACGCAATATTATTTATATAGCGTTTTTGAAGAATGTTAGTAACTAAATCCTTTGACAGACTATTGATTATTCTTTAATTCAACGTAAGTTAAATCTGTCATTAATCTTAAATTAATATGTATATTAAATTTATTTATGTAGGACACATTATTCCACATAAGTTTAAAAAAGCATTAATAATTAAACTTTTACAGTTGAGACTTCTAATTCGTGTGCGATTTCCCGACATTTTTAAGCATGAAATGACTAATTTGAATATGAATTTAATAAGTGAAAATCATCATCGGTGAAGGACTCGGCATGAGGATGTGTTTTTTTAATTTGTTAAGAGTGCGATGTGTGAAGTACATATATTAGCATTTTTAAAAGCACGCAAATTAAATTATTAAGCAAAAATCACTTCGAAGGGTAAATAACTTATCCGTAATAAAACTCTCAAAAAGGCACCGTAAAGGCTTATTGTAAGCCAGTACAGTTTAATGCACAATTTAACTTGAATAGGCGAAGTTCTTTTTATTAATTTTTAGTTCAGGAGGCAATTTAAGTATAATTGGGTTTAATCCAATAAATTTATAGTAAATAAATCAACAAAAAACCGTGCAATTTTGCTTACTGACAATGCATATGCCAATGTGAAGTATGTTGTAGGCGCATTGAACTGGTGTAGAGATTTTTCTTTACTTCCAAAGTAATTTTCCTTTTATGTTTTTTTTTTGTTTTTTTAAGTGAAAGAACAGACACAAAGAGACATTGTACACTTTATAAGTTTGTCATCAGTCTTTTCAAATAATGCAACTCTCAGAAGGTATTAAACAAAACATTTAATGATATTGACCGTAAGATTATTAATTGTTTCTATTGCTATTTAATTTCATTTTTAATGAATTTAGTTTTTATATTTTTAGATTTAGAAGTATTTTAATTGCATTGCAATCATATTAAAGTCTAATTAGATTTTTCTTCTCACAAAGAACATAACCTCAACGGAAGCGTATAAAAATTTGATGATTTAAAGCAATATTATTAAACAAAATAGATTTTATCACATAAACTCACATTAATTTTTTAATTTTTTACTAATTTATATACAATTTTATAATAAAATATAACTAATTTCTATGGAATCACAAACTTCACACCGTTCCTGCCAGCATGTGCTGCAGCACTTTATCTGCACCCACCGTACTGTGAGTCTGTTCACAGTCTTCATTCAACGAAAAACTTTTCAGTTTTGTGCTCGTACCTTTTCGTAGCACAACAACTCATTGTGTACTCATTCGTTGGCCCTTCTCCTCCTGCGAAAAATTAACTGCTGCCGCCGTTGCCGTTGCCGTTCAACACTTTACGTTTGTAAAGCTCCTGTCAGAGTTTGGCTTCTTTATAGTAAATGCATTAATTCAATCTTATGAACTTCTTTTTAAAAAAATTCTATACTTCTATTATTCTATTATTCTATAAATCGTTATAAAAACACCGAATTACATATTTGAAATTTTTAATTTTCCATTTTCGTTTTTGTCTCTTGCGTTTGCAAGATTTTTATACTTGACATATGGAATGCGAATTTTGCCGGTTTTCATTTAGCAATTTATCAACTTTTCAACATTTTCGTTTTAAATTTTTATGTTTTTTCAAATGTTCTTAAACAATTTATTCACTTAAACCTTTTTTGTATAATTTTATTAAATATTTGTGCATTTTTTGTCACTTTTTTCATTTATTGTGTACAATTAAGTCTACGTTTTGGTTCACTACTGAAATAATGCATTTACATTTTTTAACGAAGGGTGGTTTATCGATTTTTTCAATATGAGTTTTCGCTATAGTATTTTGTTGGGGGTGTAAATTTTGACAAAGCACTGGCAAAAAAATTTCCCTTTGAAAGGAAATTTATTTTTTCAAACATTCGCGGTAATTTTTTACTACTATCTGTCATTTGTTAAAGGAAGTGTTAAAAAGTGTTCCAAATTAAAAGTTGTGTACAAATTTAATTTAAATAAAAATATTAAATTGTATTGTGAAAAACCAAAAAAACTACTACTGGAAAGTTTTATTTTGCATATATAACAAGTATTTTATTTATACTACAAAATATTCTCTATTTACTCTGCAATAATCATTTCAATTCAGACATATACAAAAAATATTACCGGGAAAGTTTACTTTTTATATATAATAGGATTTCGAATTATACTATAAATATTCTCCATTAACTCAATAATCATTTCAATTCTTTCAACTACCAAATTTTAATACAAACCATATCCCTTTTTTCCTTAGCATCCTTTTTTCCGAGTGGCTAGTTGTTTTAAATAGTAATTTCGATGTTTTCAAAGTTTCTGTAAAATTGTTCAAGCCTTTTTTTTCTTAATTTATATTTCTTTTTCTGCGAACAAGCAATGTTTCAACAACGTACGAAATTATTTTTTATCATTGTTTGAAAAAAATCTTAAGCTACACAACATAAACCATTGCTAATGGAAATAATATCACAAAACTACACTTATAGAGATTAATATCTTTGAACAACTATACGGATCTGTCAACGAAACACCAATTAAGTCACATCACACATTTTTTTATTCATCTTTTAAAGCAATTGTAACGTTTTTTAATAAAATTAATTTGGACTTTATTTGCTTTATTAAATTAAAACAAACAAGTATAAATGACGTATATATAATCCTATTTATATTTCTTTATATTTTCCTGACATATTACTAGACAAAATTATATCAAATTTATCAAAATGTTTGATAGTGTTGGAGACCAAGCGACACACACATCCACATCTGTTGTTTATTTAATTGCTTGAGTTTAGAGATTGATTCTTCAAATATAAAACATTTTTTAATCTAAAACAATTTCACATTTCGAATCACTATTGTGTTAAGAACTCTTGCACCAGTGTAATTTTTCTCATCCAATACAATGTCTACTATGGACAGATAAGATATTATCTTCTCCAATATAGAAACAGCATTTTGTCAGATCAGGCATAAACATCTTGTTCAGATGATAGCTTTATTATTGATGATAGTTTATTATTTTCACAAGGAATTTTTTGTGAATTTTTGCAGAAAACATTAACAAATGAACGGATATTTCAATGCCTATTAAGACAAAAGCTCTCTCAAAATACAGTTATTAAGTCCAAACAAGTTCTCGAACTTCGCTTGTCTTATATTCTGAAAAGAAATATACAAATACAGCTATACAGCTATTGACATAAAAAATAATGTAAAAGAATCTAAATTTTTATGATATGTGTACTCTGTTATATATCTCGACATTCTAAAACAATTTTTAAAATTTGAGAAAAAATAAGTAGTTTAACTAGTTAACATTACTAGTTAATTAATATCATACAGAGAATATAATTCAGAGAAAGAAAATAATTTTATATTTCAATATTTAATATTTATTTAAAAACATGATCTTACTATAGATTTTTGAACACATTCAATTTTATTCCTATTCATCTATTTTTATATACCTTATAACATTCATATGCTGATAAGAATTCAATTTTATTATTACATAAATAAACATTTAGATATATTGACAAATGTATCCACTACAAATTATTAAACTACATTATTAACTAACTTATATCATATATATTTACCATATATATATAAAAGCGTTACGTTTGCAATTTTAACTACTTTTCGAAAATAATTTTAAAATCGTACCATTCTTTTAATGAATAATTTTAGTTAAATTTCTAAATAGCATATGTATGTGCTTGAGTTATCACATTAAATAAATTTTTCGTTTAATATATTTTTTAATAATTATTTATATATTTTCATATATATATCGAGCAAATATCGAAAGTTTTTTACAGATACTTCTGTTTATAAACAAATTTAAATATACAATTTTTTAAAATTTGGTATGCCTCTCAGTCTTGAAAATTAAAATTCAAATATCTCAGTATATAATTTCGTATATATATATATTATAATTATATGCAAAGTATTTTTTGTATAATTTTATAAACAAATAAATAAATTATTTGTATACAAGATAATTTTGTATTTTTAAGTCTCCATTTAACACATAGTATTTGGATTACATTTATATAAAATTCGCATGCAAATATAGATCGTAAAATTTCATTACTATAATTTATTAAAACATATACTTATTTAGCTAATAATTTAGTATTTTTTATTTTTAAATTAACTTTCCTAGTTCGTTTCGTTAAATCGATGTTGATAAAAGCTTTGAAAACATTTTAGTTTCTCTTAGACGGATCCAAAACACATAATTTTTTTAAACAATTCATTAAAAATTAAATCATATATCCGAACTTATTTTTAAAATCAACTATTCTTGAACCCAATATAAATTTGCCTAATTAATTCACTACGAAGCTCATTAAATTATTTTTCACATAGTTTACTTGAAAATTTTTTTGTATGTTGTGTTGCATACGTTTGTATTTAATTAATATTGTTATTATTATAAAAATAAATATTTAATTCTTTTTTCATATCGTACTTAGAAAATTTTTTAATAACAAAACAAATTCTTATAACAAAATTTAATTAATTATTCTAATTTATAACCGCGCTTATTCACATCATTTACCTTTTACTAAAACCATTGTGCCAGTGTTGGAAACGGTTCAACTTTCGGCAATGATACAATTAATTTCAAAAAAATTCTGAAGCAACTGTTAAAGCTCTATCAGGTTATTCATAGCTAACGGTTCCATGCTTTCGTTCCAAACTACTGAAATTCGGCGTAAAATCTACTAAATATATAGACTTCTGAAATAGATTAATATGTATTGAATTAGTTAGTAAGAAAGTATTTTTAAATAATATGTAATGCTCTTCCCATATGTACTGTCTACTATTGTAATGTCTATATATTTCTATTGTCTTTATATTCTTTGGTAATTATGTTTAATGCATATATACTAATTAATTAATTAGCACATAACTCACTTTTTGTTAGACAAATTTGAAAACCTACTACATCCGATTTTTTTTATCTAACTTATACTTATATATGTTTCTTTTAGTATTTAGACCAATTCTTTATTATTCGCACTTGATGTATTGGTCTAAACAAGTGTTACCTACAAACGTGTTATTTCTGAAACCGTTTCAACTTCGGTACCATTTAATGGTGTTGTCAAGGTACCAGCATCTGTTGTAGGTCTTGGCAAATGCGAATAATAACCAATTTGGCAATTGTTTTGATGAGACATTTTTTGACTCTGGCTTAATTGATATTGTGCTGCTTTCAGAGCTGCCTGCTGTTGCTTTGTCATACAATCACAGCTACTTATATCTTGAATTGGAGTTGAAATCAGTTCTTCTGTAGATTTGGCGGTAATCGTTGTTGTTGTAGTGGTGGTCATCTCCTCTACAAATTGTGCTGGTGGCGGAGCATAATTCTCCACATCTGTATATGTCGAATAACGTCCATAAGGATTCTTGCGTGGTATGGAATGACGTTGTTGTGCAATTTGTAATTTAACCGTCGGTTTCACGGTGACCGTATCCAGATAACCATAACCGAATCCGTAACCACTAATTGCTTTGGTAGTTAAATTATCCCAAGATTTGGGTTTGTGCACATAAGCAGTATTTGGATATATTTGTGAGGGCTGTATTTGTGTTGCTGTGAGTTGATAGCGCTGCTGATAAACACTATGTATATGAGGATGTTGCTGTATATTCAATTGGTGTTGTTGCTGTTGTTGTGGTTGTGGTTGTGATTGTGGCTGCTGGTATGATTGCCTAGACTTAGTTGAATGCTGTCTAGAATTCGCATTCTCACTTTTGGGATCCCAATATAAAGTATCAGTGCTCAAGGATGTTGTATAGGAAGTTGAGTCTGCAGCTGCAAGTTCACTCGAAGTACAGGAATGCAAGCTACAATGACTAGCTAGTCCAGTTGTAAGATCAAAGTAGCGAGAACGTATGCTACCGCTGTGTGAGTCACATGCCGGATGCTGACGGTGATGTTGATGATTTTGTTGCTGTTGTTGTGGCTGCTGTTGTGTCTGCTGTTGATGCTGTACTTGATTGTGATGATGATGTTGATGGTGATGATGATGTCTGGAAGTAGCTGGCGAAGCATTTGCTTGTGATTTTGGTCTTGGTGGTCTCTCTTTGGATTCTCTCTCACGTTCCCTGTGTTTGTGTTTGTGTGTATGTTCCTTGTGATGTCGAGTACGTCTACGAGATGGTACACAGTGTGTATCACAGCATGGGCTTGCTAAATCGTAAGCATCTAAGCTGACATTATCACCGGTGACAGCAGGTGTAGCAGATTTTTCAGATGACTTCCACCTAAAGTGACCAATGCATGGATTACACGAATGACCATGACAGTGTTTACTTGGTTTTTGACTCTTTTGTGGAGTTGTTTCAGTTTTCTGTTGTTGTTGCTGCTGTTGTTGCTGCTGTTGTTGTTGCTGTTGTAGTTGTTGTTTACTCGGTGGTTTATGTTTTTCACATGTTCTAGGTGGTGGTGCTGGAGCCTGTGTAACAGATACGGAAGTTTTTTGTTGATTTGTGTATTGTATACCACCACTTGCTGTATCTATAGATTCTGCGCGTGTTAGTATAAAATGTTGTTCACTTGGGCTACGTCGTACGCCATCGCCTATGCTTACAAAATACTCTGCACTATTGCTTGAATTTGATGGTTTCAGCACATAACGGTAAGTGGGATCCAAGTAATGATAGGTGAGCATAAATTGTGCTGGTGGTGGTATTATTGTCTGCTGCGATTGATGTCGGGCTATATTTGTAACATCTTCAGTCGATAATGTTGGTCGGTAATATGGTAAATTTTGTGTTTCATCTGTAGGTGAAATAGTAATGCCATCGCCATCAGTAGGTGAAGTAGTAGCCTTTTTACGTGCCGGTAAACTGTGTGTCTTCCATTTACCTTCTAAAAGTTCGCGTTCCCTTAAACAAACTCGCTCCAATTCATTCATTTTACTTTGTAACACGTTTTGTAGTTGTATATATCGCATATGTAGTTCCACCTAAACAATTTAGTAATTTGTAAATATATTTCTTATATATTATATGTACTGAGTATATATGAATTAGAAAATGCTTACCTTACGCACACAATCTTCGAAAAGTACCACCATACGCATACGAGTTTCACAACTTTTTATAAAATTAACTAAAGTCTTATGATCAGCCTTTTCCATATCAATGCCATTAATTGACAATATGACATCACCCTCACGCATACCGGCTTTATAAGCTGGACCATCATATTCAACATAATCAACATATGTTATCATTTCCACTTCTTGATCCTTTTTATAATGTATCCCATAACTTTGCAAGGTAAAACCGAATGTGTCTTTTTTCTTCTCTACAATAATTGTGCGACGTCGACGATCTTCATCAGGCTTCGATGCAAGGAAGCGATCGGACTTGACGCGCCCCAATATATGAGTTGATTGAGATAACTAAAAACATATATATATATATGTAAGTTACTTATTAACATATAAAATATTTATTTTATAATTTTTTATATATATATATTTTTTTTTGGAGTATTTAAATAGTATGAAAAAAAAAATTAAATTGTGGTCTTTTAATAGTTTATATTATGCTATAAAACATATTTTAGAATATGTTCATTAATTGTGAGTTAATTACTGATTGTTTATGACTACTTTAAATAATTTATGTGTTTTTGTTAAAAAATAACAACAGTAGGTCACTTCAGAGATAAAAAAATTTAAGTAAAAGAAATTTACCGCAAAATTGATTAAAAATTATAACGGATTCAATATTTTTGATTCGGTAGACGCAAGTAGAAAAAGCGGTAAAGGTCATCCACATCATCAAGAGAAGAACCAGGTGACCAACGATTTGGGCGCGCTCTGTACTACCAATAGGCGACAGTAAGCCATTGATTGGGTTGGCTAGCAAAAGCTAATAGATGCGGTCAAAGACGACTCACGAAATAAGTAAGTAAGTAATAAACTAAAAATTTGAAATCTAATACAAAGGGAAGTGAAGAAACCATTTTGGAGTTATTGAGGATTAGACTTTTTGAGGAGTGGACTTTTCTTTGATATTCCATATCTCAATTTATAGAAAAAATTGTACTGGTTGAGAATTACGCAATTACCAAAAAATGTTTAATTAATTTTACTTTATTTTACGATAACTCTTAATGCAAAATTCCAATCAAAGTAATATATTTAACAATTGTTAATTATTATATCATTTTTCAAGCCAAAAAAAAAAGAATTTTCAGATACAGCTAACTATATTCTATATACTTTTTGCCTAACTCAATTCAACTCAATTTGACGTTAAATTACAACTTATGTTTACAAAATATTGGTCTCGCCGTGCGAGTCTTGGAGTAACATTAGCATGACTTTTGCAGTATTACGTTCCTAGATTAGGTTCTATACATAAGAAAGAATACATAAATCATGCAACAAATAATGCCTCTACAAACAGCATAGTATGGAAATTTAGCAATTAAAAATAAAAATATAATTAATTAATTAAATTATTCCACGGCTGGTTTATGATTTCGTTCTAATATAAACACAGCAAGTAAAATTGTTAATAAAAACTTTCATAGCAAAGTAACAAAACTCCAGAAAAATGTGCTAACATAAAAAACAAGTACGGCTTTGGATCAGTTGGTTAAGGAGCACTGACTCTGAGCTTCAAATTTGGCAGGACCCAAGTTCGATTCCTGGTACTTGCAGTCTCAAAAACTTATATACGAACAAATTAAATACAAGAATTATTTCCAAGACCACTGATGATAAGTATTTGGCAATACTCGAAACAGCTGTATGGTCAGCCAAAACCTCAATTAATTAAAATAATATAAAATGAAAATGTTGTAGTTCACTACTGTTCGAAAAAACCGCTTTATTTTTATATTAATAATTTTGTTACATATGTATACTTATATATATTAGTATTCTTCTATATATTTTCACACAACATAAATGGTTGTAAAATTAACATTAAATATTTTACACTATTTTTCTTACAGATTTGCGAAATTATTATCCTTTTATTAAGAACAATCTTCATAAATTATCCTTAAGCTACGAGTATATTAAATATTAAAACTCATCATGAATTTCAATTGCAAAAAGAGAAAATGGTAACACAGTGAAGAACTGGGAGCTGGGGGCCCACCACTAGTAAATAAAACAAGAACAAAACGCACACATATGAAAGAAAAAACTTACTTGTGTGTTTATACAGTGAACGCAAATTCACAAACACAAACACAAAAACAAAAACAAAAGCAAAACAAAAGCAAAACAAAATTAAAAACAAACTAAACTTTTACTAACACATACAAACGGGCTTTTGTTAAGCGAAAACTTTTAATTTCATTCTTTTATTATTTCCTCCACCTTGTCACCTCCTGCGGAAATGCTCGTTCAATTCAAAATAGCAACAATTTTATTAACTGAAGTGAAACTAGACAAATTCGCATGTTCATTGTCATTGACAAAGAAAACTATTTGAAATCGAAAAAGAACAAAAGGGCTTACACTGGCGGAAAAAGTGTAATTAGATTTTAAGAGCGTCGTTTACATTGAAATTGACATTGCATGTGATTGCATTGTCAGAAAGTGTCATTAAATTATAATATTAAATATATTTTTTTAATAAAAATATTTGTCTATACATAAAAATGTTTAGAATAGATAGAAAGAAATATACATAGACAAATTAATTCTAAATAAAGTTCAAATCCCAAAATGTTTAAGTTCAGTAAAGCATATTAAATATAATTGTCGCACTGGACTTTGAAATTAATTAAATATGATTTTTGATATAATTAAAAGCTAAAATTTATATTTTTGAGTTCAATTTTAAAAGCAATTGATTCGTATTATATATTGTTAAATGAATGATCGCAGCTTTGACCCTTTGCATACCTCATAAATTAAGGTGTTTTTATCAGTGTATAAAACTAGAGTAGTAGTAATAGTATTTTAGCTTTATTTTACTAAATTTAAATATGTTATATTGCATAGAAATTTATAACAATTATATTATATATATAAAGCTTACAGCTTTGACATTTTCACCATCTGCCAAAGCTAGATATATGTATATACCTTATCATACAAACTTGAATTAACTCATTAAATCTCTTATCATTATGTTTATATCCTTTAATAGAAAGTATAATATCAATTCTAATATACTGCATTTCATAAAAATACAGTATTTTTTACTGTACAGGTATTTCAACGCCGTAAAATCAAAATATGTGATTATTTACTAATTTCTCATTAAGGCCGTGTGTGAGTTTTAGTAAATTTATAGAAAATTGAGGGAAATAGTAAATTATGTCGGTATGGCAGCGAATGTTGGTATTTACCAAAATTTCAAGTAGGGTAAATTAGATACAAATTTAGTGAATTAGGTATTACCATTGTGAAAATTTTATAAGATGTTTAATAAATAAATTTGAAAACTTTTAACAGAAAAGTAATTACTTTTTATGTTTCTTTCTTCATATTTTAAATATATATGTTTTTTAATAGTTATATCTCATTTATTTAATATTAAATACAAATATTTGGCACAAAATTTTAAGTTACTTGATTTCAAAAATTTCGAATAAAAATGTTTTCCTTTTCTTATACAATATATATGATATCTATATATATGCAATTATTATATATATTAATAGGAATTGGAAGAGATCTATATCTCAAAATTATTTTAAGGTTTGGATTTATATTATATATGACGAAAAAATATCGTTTTGATAGATTTTAGAAAATTTCGTATAGAATCTTATTTTTATAAGTCAAAGCAAATAGGATTTGGAAGAGATCTAGTAAATTTGTAGCAATTAGTTCTTTTAATGTATCGTTTTATCTATCCGAATTCTATCCATTCAAATTGGAGATAAAACTTGCTATCTAGGCGATTGTGTTTTCTTACGTTTGCTTTTAGCTTTTAAATTTCTACTGTCCCATTGCCTGATAATTAAGGATATTTGTTGTCTTGCTGAGATATATATAGATTATAGAGCACAACTCTTTCTTTATTTCTAATCGTGTATTGAACATTTAGAATTTAATATTGTGGAATGAATTTTTTTACTAAGACATCAAGTTGATTCAAATAAGTACTCCCACGTTGTAAATATCTATTTATTGAAATCCACACTATGGGTTTCTTAATTTTTTTTTTAGTTATTTATGAATGTTTACTAATTTCCGTATCTAAAGATTTAGAAAGGCATTTTAAAATTCTGTACATCACAGTATGATTGTAATAATCATACTTTTATATAGCACAACGAAACATCAACTTATCTCTTATGAAAGCATGTATTGTATAATGAGATCTTGACTCTCAATCCTAGTCCCTGGGAGAGTTATTATTATAACTGTCACGATCCATATAAAAAACGCTTGGGCTGACATTCTGCCGATTGAGCAGTGAAAAATGTGTTCAACTACTTGCAACGACGCCTGCGTATGATCTAATGCATCCTCCAACTTAGTAATTTACTTCTTACGTACAATAAAGAAAAGTATTAAATAAGCTTTATGGTTTTAGTGCGATTGAAAATAAAAGATTTAAACGAAAACTCTGTTTTGACTTGGATCTGGCACCTATTAATTTCTGCTATCATACCGCTCACACTCCTAACATCACTACTACCTTCAACTGTTAAAGTTGTTTCGTTCATAGAATACATAAATTTTATTAGATATATTTTATGTATTTTATAATATAAAAAATTCCTTATAATTAACCACAATTTAAAAAAAATAAAATTTTTGGTTTTTAATAGTTTTTAGCTAAAAACTCATACATCATCTTCTATATGCTTAGGTTAGGTTAGGTTGAAATGCCCAATTTCTATTTGGGCTCAAATAATTGCCGTTATTATACCATAAACTAACATTTTGCATACGCGGACTAGAGTTCAGTGTTCCAGCAACACCGAACTATACACATACATTCCAGTAAACTATTTCGAATTGGAGTATTCTATTTTTTAGTGTATTTAGAACAATACAAAACCCAAACCAAGACTCACAAGGCTCTGTGAACTTTAAACCACTATAAAGTATATTCAAACCACTGAAACTCTTAAGAATTTTTAGGTAATTTTCAGCACAAATACATTCACGTCCATTTGAAACTAAAATTGCAAGTGAACTGTGGGATCTGTGAACTTTAAATCATTATAAAGTATTTTCAAACCACTGAAATCCCTAAGAAATTTACATGATTTTCAGCACTAATACACTCATGTCCCTTTGAAACTTAAATTACAAGAGAATTCAGAAATTTAATATTATGTTATATGATCTTTTCTTGGCTCACTTTATAAGTTACATTGTAAATATTAGAGAAGTCACTTCAGGTACTAAGTTCTTACTATATTCTTCCACACATAAAAATACAATAGTTTGTCAATAACTAATAAGTTATTAGCACAATTCTATATCTTTCTTTGTTTAAAACTTTTCTTCTTCAGTCATATAAACTTTATTCTGCTTGAATGATTTTTTTATTTCCAAAGATATCGATTTGATATCTTCTAATATTGATATCTATTGATATTCTTCTGATTTGATTACTACGAAACCCTTTAGTAATATAAAGTTTATTCTACTCGATGGGTTTTCTTACTTCTGAAGATATCGTATAATTCTTCTGATTTGATTATTACGAAACCCTTTAGTTATATAAAATTTACTTTGCTCGATAGGTTTTTCTTACTTCTGCAGATATCAAATAATTCTTATGATTTGATTACTACGAAACCCTAAAAAAGCTGTTATGAAAACAATTAAACACATATGATTTCTTTCCCATACTGTATCCACTCGTGTATGACATAATTAAATTAACTACACGACTTAACATACAGGGTGTTAAATATGTCAACTAACGTAGCTGTTCCCGAAAATAACGAAAACGTGTAACAAATTACTTGACAGTCGATGGATGACCAATACATTATGAACACATGAACTGCTGTGCAAAGCTGTATGAGGTCAATTGGTTGCAGTTAGTCAAATGGACTACGAAGTACTGCGAAAAGCAATTCTACTAATACAAAACGTATACGAAGTTACTTTATACACTTTATAAGGACAAACACTAAGGGGTGCCTACCCTAATTAAATAGAACGGCTAATATCCACAACGAACTAAAATAATTAGTTAAATTAATTTATTTATAGAGTTACTTTCTTATTAATTAATCCGAATTTTTTTTTTTTGTTTTTTTTTTACCTGAGAATAATCGAGTTCCTCATCATCACTGCCGTCTAGACTTTTGTGCTTGTAGTATTTTAAACGACCCAAACTGCCAGTGCCGTTTACGTAATGGTTGCCGCTGCTACGTACACTGCCACTACCCAAACTGGATGAAGGATTCAAACTATTGCTAACCGAGGCAATGCTTTGACAACTTGTGCTGATTGGATTTGCTGCAGCCATTGTGTGATGTGTATATAAAGCTGATGCTGGTGCTGGTGGTGGTGCTGATTCAAGTGAGGACGTTGAGGCTTCAATGAGGCTTGTGCTATTTCGAGTGCTGATATAAGTTTATACTATTACTGATTTTATGCAATTTAATGATTATTTTTGCTAACGTTGTCAAGCGTCTGCATTCTCCTGCGGCAGCGAGGACGAAATTAAGTGTCTTTGACTTTATGCCACAAAATTTACACAGAGCAAATTGCTATCGATTTATTCCTGTGCTGAAAATATGCGTTGCCTTCAGGATGTCTATAGCTTTTTCTGTACACAAACATGATTCTCAATTCTATTATGTGATGTGACGTACCGACTACATTTCTATTTAAAAAAACAATAGGTGCATTTATGCTGTATTTTTATTATTTATTAAATTTTATCATTTATGATATAGTTTCATTCTTTATCATGACTCCTCATACTATTATCGAACTGCAGCGTTTGCTCGGAAAAGTAACATAATGTGAGTTACACAACTTTTGAAATTATTTTATTATTGATATTGATAAAGAAAAAAAATATATTATAATACTCTGCACATTATAATAATTTTTTTATGCATATACATTTTTCAATTACAATATTTTTTAATAACTTCCGGTCCTATTGTACCGCGTCCGTCACAGTTTTAAGCAGAACTGATTCTTACTTAACTGACCAAAAATATTTTGTATTAACCTTTGTGGATGTATGCAAACTACCACTTTTCGTATGAAATTTCATATCGGAGTTTGGAGTCGGTTTCATATTTTGACGGTGCTCAATATGGATTGAGTGCTGAACGGAAGTGCTCTGCCCGCATATGGAAACATGCGCGTTAGCTTTCGGCTGAGTTGCTCTCATTAAAAACAAAATTTATTCAATATTTTGTAAACACACAGCACGAGCAGACATGCAACAATGTAATGATGGGGCACATGTTGCAACAATTGTTCTTGGCCACCGGTACCTGCCACAGCACGCATGTGCCACAACCATTTTCAAATAGAAACTGGTCAAATGTGGAAACTTCCATAGACTTTTTCTTGTTCATTTATTTACTTAACTTTAATGCACTTTACTTCCGATCAAATATTCAGCAACTCTAACCAAATTGAGAGTTGATTAAAGCGATCTAAAATCTAAAAAATTTGTCAATAAAATGTTTGCAATATTTATATTGGGAGATATCAAAAAATTTAACGTTTTTTATTAGATTTTCAACAAAAATTTTCTTTATTAACTATATTGAAGCTATTGGAGCCAGTGTACTTGAGCACTTTTACTCTCTATTAACTCGAGGTATCTTCAAAACCCCTCTTTACACCTTGACTGGATTATTGTTTATCACTTTATCAGACTAAGCAGATTTGCATACCACCCCGAGGAGCCTGTATCTATTCTGAGAGTCGATAACGCGGTGTTGGCAAGTCTATCAGTTTTCGCAAATAATTTCAGAGCTCTATCCTTTATGTATTTTTTCATAAGATCAATCTTAAGGTCCCTGAGAATGTCACTCGTTCTAATGTACCATGGTACCTTGAAAAGTCTTCTCAAAGAAAATTTTCTTTATTAAACATTAATTTGAATAAAGTTTAAATCAGTCCTTATTATTTATGACCTTTTTACTATTTTTCCGATCTCATCTATGCTCTACCGATTCTGCGATTAATTGCAAAAAAAAACTTCACCAAGTGATTTTCAACAGTTCTGCAGACAGGTCGGCCAATTTGTCACCATAAGGAGAGTTTTACAGAGATCGACAGGGCTATACGGCAGATACACCAAATTTAAATTAACATACAGGGTCATGATGGAACAATACTGGTTTTCTGTTAACCAATTCTGGTCGCTTTTATTTGATTGTCTTATTAAAGCGGTCGAGTTGGGAGCGAGAGAAGACCGAATTAACCATTGCAACTGGCTGGAAATAGCTCATAATAGATTATTTCCTTTCAATCCCATAAAACACACAGCATATCGTTATCTGGAAGGTTATCTAAGCTTTGAAGTTGTTTATAAAATTAACTGGCAGTTGATTATGATTGCTTGCGTTGAATATTTACGTATTTAATCTATATTTCTTTCAAAAATGGATTTTTCGTTTCAAAAATAGTTAGAAAATGTTGCTTTTTAGCAACGTATCACTGATGATAATTAAGTCAATCTAATTTTTTTCCATTAATGTTTATAGTACTCAAACATCGTAATTGTTTGCTTAGCCTATTATTTTTTAATGAAATATATTGAAAACTGTTATGTGATTTATATTTATAGCCTCCGTTGTCTCGTGACAACTAGCGTATCGGTCTTGGTCCACCAGAAAAATTTTAGCGTGGCCCACCAGAGCGAGGTACACCGAAATTTCCGAAACGGAGTCAGACAAACCGCTTCCAAGTCCGGCATTCACTCACAGCATCATCGCCGTAAACCGTACACATAACATATAGTCACAAGCACAACAAACAGTATAATAGAGTAGAGTCAGTTTTATAGCATGACTTTCTAGTACTGAAACCACAATGCTGAGCAGGTTACGTTTTTTTTGAAGCAGGTGACTGGTACGTTTCTTATCCAGTATTGACCAAATCGGTCTTAAGATTAGAAAGATGCATATATGCTAAAATTAGCTTAACCGTTGTAAGTGCGATACCAATATCCAAGAAAAAAGATCGTCTGCCGTACAGTTGCCAGAGATGTCCCTGTGTCCAAATACCCATGTGAGCAGAACACTTACATACCTCGCTATCTTGTTAAGATAAACCCGGCGTTCTTGATCTGTTAAAGATATAGATGCATACCAGATAATTGATTTCAGCTTGACTGACCACGATATTCACATCAAGAATCTTATTGCATAAGACCCATTTTGCTGCATCGTGAATCGCCATTACTTCAGTCTGCAAGACAGTGCAATGGTACTGTAATCAAAACGATATGCTAGGACCCAGTTTTTAGAAGGGTTCAGCTCTTTCATTTTGAGCTGTCAGGGTAAACAATGTATCAGTGTACTAACAAAAACTCGTCTATCTATAGTCCAGTCAGTCCAGTAGGTATGAGAAAACTAAACCATGGATCGAAATCTGGGTGACAATGCAGCATAACGTATAATGTAATAAATTGTGTATTAATTCGACCACAAAAAGCCAATATTATAAAGGATGCTCTGAAAATATATAACCATACATGAACGTTTTTAAGTTCAGCCCGTTTAACTAGCATTTAAGAATGTTTCTGTGCTATAAATATAAAGGTGGCTTTAATTGGTAAATCTAGATTAAATGTAGATTTGCTGTTATCCAATCGATCGTTATTAGAGTAATCTAACATTTTTATAGTTGTATTTTTGATTATTTATATATTTCATAATTGGTCAAAATTAACAAAAACTGTCAACCATATAATACGATTTAGACATCCCATTGGTCAAATATATTAATTTCTGAAAACTTTCATAAGAATAAATATATATAAAATGTCAATTTAATTGATGAACATTTCAGCCGACTCTACACAATAAAAATGGATATTTGTTTATTGTGAATAGTACCATATTTGACAGTGCTGCTGTCATATAAACAAATTGGGGATATGTCAAGCGTGTTTATATTGGCTTTATAAGCGTTGCAAAACATTTGCGGGCATTCTTGGATAAGTCTTTATTTCCTTAAGTAGCTATTATAATAACTAGAAGAAAATCAAAATGACTGCTGTACCACCACCAACAAATGTTTCAACGCTACTTCCATTAGGTAAACGTTAATTAGCGTAACTATTAAATGCCGGGTGATGTATTAATTTTATTATAGAGCTCGTGGACAAATGCATTGGTTCCCGCATACATATTATCATGAAGAATGATAAAGAAATTGTGGGTACTTTACTCGGATTCGATGACTTTGTTAATATGCTGTTAGACGATGTCACAGAATATGAAAACACACCTGAAGGCCGACGTATCACTAAGCTGGATCAAATCTTATTGAATGGCAACAATATAACGATGGTACGTGATAACTGACAAAGTTTAATATTTTTTTAACGATTGTTATAATTACAGCTGGTACCAGGTGGCGAAATTCCAGAATAAATTTAGAGTAAACTCCTTTGTTACTACTATTAATTAATAAACTTTACATATTAATATTAAAATACGCTATTTTAAAAAGTTTGAAATTATAGGTTATAAGGAAACAAAAGGAAAACTTAAAGTTAATTAACATATGCAGTTGATGACTGAATATTCTTTGGAATAAAAATATATATATTATTTTAAATGTTTAATAATTATTTATATTCATTAATCAACAGTATTAGTTTTATTATTAACTGTTTCATATTACAAATTCAACGAGTAATTAAGAAATTAATATCACTTCAAGAGTGTGCGTATACGAATTTGGTATACTCTATTGTACTTGGTTGTTACTTGAAAATGCTCATTATAACGAATTTCACTATTCACAAGTCATAAATAATATTTGCTAAGAAAACATGAAACTGACTGGCGTATTTGGAATTATGAATGCTACTGATAGACATTAAAACGATAACTAAAAATTTCAGTATAAATCCAGAGTTGAAAAATACGAAAGCTGAAAATATAATTTGAGTTGAAACTGCTACGAAGTGAAAATCCTATTTAATATAATAAATCTAAGCTGCCACAAAGTTATTCAATTGTTATGCTGTTAATATGAAGTATGACCAATAAAATCTAACAAACAGTAAAAATTAGAAGGATATGGAAAATTTTATTACTTGCCCCATCAATTCTCTATAAACATAGTGTTTATAGTTTCAAATGCTTATTTTT